ATATCTCCTCCGTTATGAGGAAAAATTTAATAGTTTAATAAGAAATGATTTAGAAAGAAAAGAGATCACCTTAAGAAAAATCAATTTATTAAGTTAAATTATATGCTTTTGTATGAATTTCTATTTCTCTTAATACTTGTGACTAATTTTGTTTGCTCAAAGAAATATGATTCATAATTGGTAATAAAGGATTTATCACATAAGGAATGAAGGTTAAATTAAACTTGAGAAATTGAAATTAAATTATATAACAATAAAGGATTTAGAAGGGGAAAAAATCCGTTAAAAAATTTATTCATTTTGTAGCAACCAAGTTCATCACGGATTAGTGAAAATAAATTTAAAAAATGAGAAGCTACCACTAATCTTTATTTTAAGAAAAAAATATTAAAAAAATCATAAAATAAAAAACATTATTCATACATCCTAAAATATAAAATTGACATAATTGACATGAAAGTTAATTCACTAAAATATTTTAATTTCAAAGAAAAATTATAAATATATTAAATTGTCATATATTTTTAAAATTTTAAAAATCTAAAAGATGTCACATCTATTTAACTCTTTTTTTCATGTTGGTAAGTTCATTTATTTAATTTTACTTTATAATTATTTCTAATTCTTATTAGATATTATGTTTTTTTTATCCTTCACTTGTGTATTCATTCACATTAAAACTATGCATCTAAATTACCAAATTAAAGGCATACATGGCGCCTAAACCTGAATGCTTAAAAGAATATCAAATAAAAAACTAAAGAGATAAATAAACCAATTAACTCACAAAATTATAAATAAATAAATAAATAAAGATAAGGCGATGTGATAGTAGCATTATTGGAACCTACACTTGGCAAAGGGAAACATCCAATTAATTAACTAATTCAACACAAACTAACAAAATTCATGCATTACAAGGAATAAGCTTGTAACAGGAAACAAGTAATAACAGGACCGTGCCAAGAGTCTTACAAAAATAAAAACGAAATCAACTCTAAATAAACAAAACACACATCAAACCATAAAATGAAATAAATAAAAGGTTGCATGCTCACAAATCACAATGAAGTTCGATAGAAATGCTTTTAGACAAAAACAACCCCAGTTACATAGGGCAAACAAAATGGCAAAGACATGAGCAAGCAAAGGAAAAGTTAATTGTGTTGTAAATAACACAGAGGGAAAATTGAGTAGAATTTTTTTCTTTCACACTTGTGTATTACAAATGATTACTCATCCCTCTTTATTAATCAATAGATGATATAAATATATGTATAAATTGAACATTCAAACTCTATATGTACTGTTAGGACATGCAAATGAACAATGAAAGCATAAAACATAAAAATCATATAAAATCATAAAACAAAGAAGAGGAAAGGTCACACAATATAGCAATTTTGTATTTATTGGATAACCATGTTGTTCCGCATGTTTTTCATTTATATATAAGATAAATACATGAAAAATGATAGTCATACATAATGTTTATAAATGTTGTCAGTAAAATATATGTACCTATCATCATTAAGTGTGTAGATTTATTATGACAATATAAATTTTCTTTAATCTCACTTATTTGTTTTGTCCTCTCTATTTTGTGATCCTTATTTATACTCATAAAAATATTAAGTATATAAGAAAACATCTAAATTAAGAAGAACAAAATATTAAACAAAATAATCATAAGATATTTTAATAACACACAAACTAAGACATAATCTAAAATGGTAACTTCTACGATGTTTTAATATTTTAAGATATACCGACATTAATTGTATTTATTGAATAGTTCTAATTGAAGTATGTATTTCAAGTTTTTTATTTATCTCTGTCACATTATAAGTAAAATATCTTTTATTATAAATAATTAATAATTTCTTTTATATAACTTTGTCATTGGTTTTGTCAACACCTCTTGCTTAAGTGAGTAGTAAGGTTCGCTTAAGCAAGTCTTTGAAAATTTGAGAGTGAATTCTCTAACATGTCTTACTTAAGCATACAGAACAACTCACTTAAGATTAGAGCTCTCTATCTTCACTCTCTTAATAAGTGACTAGTATATTTGCTTAAGTGAGCCTTCAATGTCCAATAGATTGTACTCTTTATCAATTTTCGCTTAAGTGACTAAGGTGATTCATTTAAATGAGATTTTCCTTCTAAAAAATCTCTTCATTTGACTTAATTTCTTATGATTTTTTTTATTAATATTTTATCTATTATTGCTCTTGTTGTAACAAACATAAAACATGAAAAATATCTAACAATTGAAATTAACTAAGTATAAATTTATTTATTTCTAATTTATCAATTACATAGGACAAACATGACTCCAAAAGATATACTTAATAATTAATTGACATGTCTCTCTTTATATATATATATATATATATATATATATAGAGAGAGAGAGAGAGAGAGAGAGAGAGAGAGAAAGAGAGAGAGAGAGAGAAAGAGAGAGAGAGAGAGAGAGAGGAGAGATCCTTTTACTCCATGAGTGAGTCTACCTAGACTTACTTCGTTCAATAACTCATGTTCTACATCAAATTTCAACGATCTAACCGTTCAATTTAAAGTTCTTAATGAATAGATCAAATTTGCAAATTTTTAGAAAATTTAAAAACCATTTAATACTTTATTTCATTAATTCGAATCAATGTATAAAATAATTTTATAGTTATCCGTCAATTTGAGGCTTAATTAGTGTTTGTGCTCTCATGGAGGCTCATAGGCCATGGCTGCCATAGGGAGTGTGCGTGTGAGGGGTTTTCGTTCTAGAGTCAGTGAGTTTTAGTTTCATATGATAGGGAAGAAAATGATCATTATATTATGCATTGAGGGGGACGTCACTGTGGTGCTTGTGGGATGAGGTAAAAAATATGAGTGAGAGCTTTAAGGTTGTGAGTTGGTTTGGAGATGTTTGTTGGTTTCAAGGGTCTTGATGTGTATCCACCTGTTCCCCCCTTCCCCTTGTATGCTGTTATTCAAATAAGAACTTGAAAATCTTTCTTGTACGTGCATGCTTTCACTCGAGATTCCTTTTCTATGTCAATTTGAAACCACAATCTTAACTGAGACAAAATCTTCTTTTTTTTGTTTCTTTCTGAAAAGCATGTTGCCTTACTTTGCTTGTAGGGGTATTTGGCCTAATTAATGTTCTGAATACTTATGATAATGAAATTAAAATGAGCCAAAGCCACCATATATACTATATAGTAGAGTAGAGTAGAAACTACATTTTTAAGTATTTTTTTGTTTTTGATTTTTTTTTGTTGCATTTTCAGTTTTAAATAAAAAAAATTGCAGATTTTTATTTTTGTATTTTGTCATTATTTATTTTAATCATTCTCTCTCTCTATTTTGGTGTTTCCCGATGCAAATTTTAAATTTTTAAATTTTTTTTAGATTTTAATAATCATTTTATTAGTGCGATGTATTCATTAACTTTATTTATAATTAATCCAATTTTAATGAGATTTCTCCCTATATTTTTTTTCACGAAATTTGTATACAATAACTTAGTAAGAAGGGGATACCGATCTCAATTATACTCTTATTACCAACGATTTGTTGGTTTTAAAAACCTCTTAATTGCATTTTTTCTTATTATTTTTCTTCAATTAAATAAAAATATAAAAAAAAACATATAACATCAATAATATTTTCCTAAAAAAAAAAATATTTTCAATCAAAAGCTAATTAATTAATTACCAAAAAGAGATCGAAGGTGATTAATTGGTTATTGAGTTATTAAACCGCAGTTCTCATAAAGATGATCCTATTTTTTCACCGTATTAGTTACACTTTCTGCCCTCTTAAGAAATTTTTTTGCTCCACTAATGTTTGTGTGGTGCCTTAGGTTGATTGTATTGTATAAGTTTTCTATTATTATAGTATTAACTTATGAAATTAGTCCAATTTAAATATATAAAAAAATACACTTTACGCACAATTCTTTCCTTTTTGGCATTTGCAACTCACAAGCAGTTAATTGAATGGGTGCATCGAAGGACTCCATAGGAATGGGCAATTGCGTAATTGTGTTAAGGTCGTCAGTTCGTCAACTTTTGAACTTTTAGTAATTTGAAGCATTCCTTTCCCACGTTTACATAGAACGAATAGATCTTACTCTGCAGTTAATAGTTGGAATTGGTGTCAGCATTGGTTCTCAATAACAAATTGAAAATTTAAAAAATTAGGGTTTATATATAGAGCTAATAACTTATATATTGCTAATGTAAAATTTTTTTATATCGACAATCAATTATATTTCTTAATTGTACCATATCACTGTTAAAAATAAATATGTTTATAGTGACATGACACAATTAAATGATATAATTAGTTATTAGTGTAAGAAAAATTTACATTAAAAATGTATAGATGATTAACTCTTATATATATATATATATATATATATATATATATATATACTTTATATATATATATATATATATATATATTAAACAAGTTATAACAAACAAAAAAGTTTTGGTATAACACTATATAACTTGTCTCTCATGAAAAAGGCCGGAGAAAGAAAATAGGTGATCCCCAATTATGTAATTATAAATTACTATTTATAATAAATTATTAATTTTTACAATAAATAAGTAAAAACTCATCACAATAATAATAATATCTTGTTAGATAATAATATAATATTATTTTACATTATCGGGTGAATAATTATTAAACTCTTATATAAATATATTTTCCACATAAATCTAAGTTTAATTTCTACAATATAGAAAAGCTTTAAAATGTCAACCAATAAAAAAATTATGAAAAATATAACTTTTCAAATAATATTTTGAAAATAAACAAATTTGTTATATATCTGAATCTCTAATTGAGCCACTAGAAGCAGTCTAGTGATGAAAAATTGAAATAATATAAAAAAATAAAAATAAAAATCTTAAGTTTCATGTACTTTTGTTAAAATTTCAACAGATAAAAAAAAATAGCCATGTTTGATCGAATGACGGTGAAACTAGTTGTTTCAAATCTAATTAATAATTAATAATTACATACGAAACTTTGACACGTAGGGACCACATCCTGGCCCCCATAACATGAAGAATTAAATAGGCTTGTACCATGGATGCAAGCATCACATTACACTGATAAGTATTATAATGAAGTGCGTGTTTGCTTTAGCTTTTAGACGTGAAAATTCACGTTTATGAGAAGTAAAAAATTATAACTTCCACGTAAATTGTCTTGTAAACCCTAAACCCTAAACCCTAAACCCTAAATCTAAACCAAACATGCTAGAAGAGTGCCAATTCAAACCAAGCCTTCTTTTGTTTCTCATCTTCACCTCTCTTTTTTCTTTAATCCTTCTCTTCTACTCTACCCCTCCTGCTCCTCCTCCAAGCAGCTTTTAGCAAGGAAGAGATATCACACAGTATGGCCATTTATTTTCTTCATTTGACAAATTCTTATCATCAAGTTCTTCCCGAAATGTATGTGATGGAGACATCACAGCTAGAATTGATTATGAGAACCTTGTACTAGGTTGTCACATGTACACGTTGAACCTGTAAATCAATATTTAATAATCTTCAGATTTCATGATTCCTATACTGTTAAAAGCAGCTAGCTCAAATCTAACAAAGCCTCTCTGTATACCATAGTCTAATTAGTGGAACCCACTTGAACTTACCTTAGAGAGTTAGGGGGTGAAGACGTGAAGTTAATGCAACTTTGCTCCTACCCTTCAATTACTTTGTTTATCCATTGCTATGGAATAGAGAATTTTCTTTGCTTTAAAGCCAGAGTAGAAACATGATCTCCACTTGCACACTACTCTTCTGTATTTGATACAATTTCTGTAGAAGAAAACTATATATGTTCACATATATAATATGGTCCAATAGAGCACATAGACACCGTGACTAGGTAACCAAGCTCAATGAAGAGATTTGGAGTACGCATTATTTCTTTTATCCTTCTTTTGATGCTTACTAAAAGTTTAAGTTCCAATGCATTTGGTGGAAGTATGAAGGATGAGGAAGCACTCAAGGATGGACAAAATGGAAAGGAAAATTCTATCTCAAATTATGGGTATGTATATGATATCCTTTTACCTTTAATTGTTATATCTTATACAATATTATATATATTGTTAGTGTTATCTTTTAATTAAAATTAAAATTTTATCTCAATAATATATATAAATGCATATTATTGAAGTCTATATTAAATATAAATGTATATCACTAAGGTGAAATTCTAATTTTGATATGAGAATAACACCAACAATACTCATGATACTCTACCAGGTTTTCTCCATCCCAAATCCATATATTTTTTTCTTAACCTTTGCATTACATATTTGATGTTTCTAGTGAAATGGGGGTGATGGAAGATGATGATTGGCAGATGGTACAGAAGAAGGGAAACCAATTTGTGGTGAATGACAAACCTTTCTATGTCAATGGATTCAACACATATTGGCTGATGGTATTTGCTGTAGATGAGTCCACCAGAGGAAAGGTCACTGAGGTGTTCCAACAAGCATCCTCGGTGGGTATGACAGTTTGTAGGACTTGGGCCTTCAATGATGGCCAGTGGCGGGCCCTACAAAAATCTCCGTCAGTTTATGATGAAGAAGTCTTCAAGGTGCTCCTTTACTGTTTTTTTTATATTTTATTTTATGTTATACTATACTAACTTGGTATCCAGTTTACAACATAAAATATAATTTATATAACCCCACGCAGCATTATATTGTTACTGTTAACTTCTCTAGTATTATCAACTGTTTGCTACTTCTGATTGAAGCATCATGTTAAAAGGATTACAACCCCCATGAATTGTTTGCTATTGTAAGCTTTACTATGGTAATTAAAATTAGACTACCAATCTGTTTGGATACAAGTTTAAATTTGTATTCAAACAAACTATGATACAATTAATCTTCCAAGTTATCAGTCAATGTTGCTAATTCCATTTTACTATTGGAGCCATAGGCCCTGGACTTTGTTGTAAGTGAAGCAAAGAAATACAAAATCAGGCTTATATTATCGTTGGCCAACAACTGGGAGGCATATGGAGGAAAAGCGCAATATGTGAAGTGGGGGAATGCTGCTGGCCTTAACTTGACCTCTGATGATGACTTTTTCTCACATCCAGCTCTTAGAAGCTACTACAAGGCCCATGTTAAGGCAAGTTCCTTTAAATTAATGCAACAAATCAAAACCACCATTGGTTATTTTCATTTGGGACACTAGAATTAGAGCTTGTTTGTTTTTATGTTCCAAAGACTAAGTGCCTTGGAATTAAATCTTGATTTGGGCTTCTATTTTATAATATATTATTATGATTATTCTCTTTCATTAATTCCTGGATACTAAGTTGGTTCCATATTATATTTACTATGTAGACGGTGCTAAATAGAGTTAACACATTCACAAACATCACTTATAAGGAAGATCCAACAATTTTCGCTTGGGAATTGATGAATGAGCCTCGATGCACCTCAGATTCCACAGGTGACAAGTTACAGGTTTGTCCCTTGAAAACTTCTAATGGCCTTCATAGCACAAGGGAAGGGTCTTGTGGTATTGAAAAGAAAACATAATAACATATCACATTTTGTAATGTCATATAATCACATCACACTTAACAACTGCATTCTATTAGTCGGTTCTTTCAATGATGTCTCAACAACCCAGTTGAATATGTATTCTAGGATTGGATACAAGAAATGGCATTCCATGTGAAGAAAATTGATCCGAAACACTTGGTGGAGGTTGGACTAGAAGGATTTTATGGCCCATCATCACCTCAGAGAACTCAGTTCAATCCGAATACATATGCTCAACAGATTGGAACTGATTTTATCAGGAACCACTTGGTTCTTGGTGTGGACTTCGCTTCTGCTCACATATATGCTGACTCTTGGTAAGTCTATTTAGCAATGCTATTGTTTTATTTAAAAAATGATAAGTTATCAGTGTGATGATTTGTACAACTACCAATCAGAAATCATGTTAAGTATGAATTTTAAAGTAACTATTATAAAAGTTACTAGACTTATCAATACTTTAATTGGATGCCAATATAAAAACCCTTTACTCGGTCAGTGCATTTAAATTAATTTCTTATGCAAACTGTTACTTCATATCATATATCATACAACATTCATATGCATGTGCACATTTGTCTTGTCTGTTACAAACGCTAATATTTTTATTAGTGATAATGTATTTTGTCATAATATATTCAGTTTCTAACTTAATTACCTGGTTAAAGGATTTCACAACAAATTGCTGATACTCATCTCCCATTCATAAAATCTTGGATGGAAGCCCACATAGAGGATGCTGAAAAGTATCTTGGAATGCCAGTTGTTTTTGCTGAGTTTGGTGTATCTTCCAAAGACCCTGGCTACAATTCAACATATAGAGACACACTTATAAGCACTGTGTACAGTACCATCCTAAACTCCACAAAGAAAGGAGGGAGTGGAGCTGGAAGCCTTTTGTGGCAATTTTTTCCTGATGGAACCGATAACATGGATGATGGGTATGCAATTGTTCTCTCAAAATCTCCTTCTACCGCAAGCATTATACAACGTCAATCCACTAGGCTTGCATTGTTCAATTCCTTGTGCAACACCAAATGCAACTGGAGTTGTAAGAAGAAAAAACTATTGGAGAAAATACTCTATCATGACGAACTGTAACACCTACGTGGAAAGTTTCCAATTGTAATGCAGTGGTCATATAAAACCATGCAGGGATAAATGTTTGATTCACCACATCATTTTGTTAATATTAATGTCAACAATGTGTTTAAGTTGTATGTTGTGACATTATGGTCATTCAAGGTCACTACCATCTTAAACTAGAAGGGTGCTACGGCATTCTTCGTTGTTTTACATTAAGAACATATATACACATTTGTATCATTATATGGAAATTGGTCAAATAAATAAGGTCGCATTGTAGGTGTTGAGTATGACTGGTTGACTGTTCTGATGTGGAAAACAATAAAACATAACAAGTTTTATATTGGAATATGGAGAAGCCAGATTTCGCACAAGAGCACTGGCTGAATGAAAATGTCAAATGAAATTTAATAAACCATCCAATCTTGAAAGTAATTTTTATCAAATAAATAAAACATTACATATCAGAAAAGTCAATAGATTGTGGCTTCCTTTAGTTCCAAGCTCATTGACATACCTGGTCATGTCCGGCCCAGCTTTGAACATTTACCTCTTGAAGAAAGAAATCATGAGAGAAGGGTGATTCAGCCTTTGTTACCACTGAGTACTCCTTCCTGAGTTTGAGTAAGCTGCTGTATTGTATTGTGCTTTCTAGCAGGCAACAGTAGTTTTTGCCTTCTAAAACATTACTGGAACAGAGTTTGCTTTCATATTGTCTATGGCTTAAACAGAAAAAAGGCAGCAAATTCCTAAAATTTCTGGTCGTCAATTTATTGACTAGTTGGTCTTTAGATGGATGCCATTATATCCATATCATAGAGCTCTCCCTGAAGGAAATAGATGTTTTGTAATAACATTGCCACAGAGAGCTTCAATTGACAGCAATATGGATCTTACATGTCTCAGAAGCAAAAACAAATAGTGGTCTATTTGGATAAACTTTTTCATAAATACTTTTAGGAGAAAAAAATTAGAAAGAAAAATGAAATAAACTTCTCTATAAACTAAAATTAACTTATGCATAAGTTCATTTTTAGAAACTCTCTCATATAAATTCTCCAAAAAGTTACAAAATAACTTATGCATAAGTTAGTTTTAGTTTATGAAAAAACTTATCTCATTTTTTCTTCCTATTTTTTTCTCTTAGAAATGTTTCTGGAGAAATTTTTTCCAAATAGGCAAAAGGTATGCTCACTGTGCAAATTATCAGTAAACATTTTATCTTAGATTTGACACTACTTTTTTGAATGAACATATTCTACTACACAAGTTTTGTTAATATGCCAGATTAAGAAAGAATGATTGTATCTCTCGTCTATGGGTTTATCCTTTGCAAAGGATTTCATCTTTCACAATGGTTAATTGCTCAATGCAGATGTTACCGATCTAATTGCCCGTCTCTTACATCCTCCTCCTATTTATTTATCTCGCAAACCCCCTCTAACTAACACTTACTAACCAACCAACTATTATAATCATCCCATCTAATTGCACCAAACACCTTATGGTGCAAAAGGCAATCATATAAAGTGCAAGTTCTCACACAAATAATCCAATTTCATCCTAGTCAAATAGAAAGTAGATTCATTTTTAAATCAAATTATTTACTATTTAGCATACAACTGTAGACACATTTTCATGAGCCAACAAGGACAGCAACAAGAGGAGGGAAGTGCTGCCCAAGCTTACTTTTCATAGAAATATCAAGTTATCAACCAAGTGTATAAATTGAAACAATCAGAAAATGGAACAAATATACTTACATGGCATTTCTAAGCAGATCACTTTGTGCTTAAGCTTAATTTCGAAAGGACTGCAGCGGCCTGATCACCGCCTAGAAGGAAATAAGGATGCCTCAAAGCAGCAGCCGCAGATAAACGTCTTTGGGAACCTCTTTTGGAGATAAGCTTTGTTGCTAAGTCCCACCCTCTACTAGAGTCATTATCAAGAATTTGGAAGTCAGACCTCATGCGGGTAGATGCCCTCCATTTGTTCAAATCATATCCACATGTTCTTATCTCCAAGTTAAAATTCTTCAAAGCAGCTGGAGATCTTAAGGTTGGAATTGCCATTTGCAGGAGTACAATGCCAGCAGAATACATATCAAACAAATCAGGACTTTTTAACTGCAAAAGTAGTCACATGGTTTTGCTTTAGCACTTCCTGATATATTTCAAACAACCAGAGAAGAAGAGGATAACGCATATACATTGAAATGTGTGTTTACTTTCATAAAATGACTCCGTACAGATTAATTACTAAATGATACCAGTCATACTCATACCACAATTGGAAATTCTAGCTGATGCAAAAACTAAAGGAAAAAGAACTCTAGTTGAGCAAGTTAGAAATCCCAGTGAAGATATTCCCATAAAAATAACACTATTCAAAAGAGTACTTAAAAAGTCAATGTATGCTTGAAACCTTCATGTAGGTTAACATTCCTAAAGAAGTCATGCCTTAAGCACGATTTGACTTCTCTCAAGTGAGCTAGGATAAAGAAAGTAATCTTGGTCGTTAATGAGAAAATTAATAGTTGATATTTCAACACATGCTTGATTTGTTATGCATATGTATGTAATGCCAGCCATTAATTTTGTCTCAACAACTTAGATTAATTACTTTACCTATAAAGTGAATTCCTCACCTTAGAAGAGCCAGATCCCCTGAACATAGAGATCCTATATTGAAATTCTCCAATGAATTATACATGATTCTGTGAAAATATTTTGGCCTATACACTGCTTAACTAACAAACAATTGTTGAAGCCGGTATTATATAGTTTTACTAAAACTGACACAGTGACACCGTTACACAAGAAACTCAATTTTGGCTACATCGATAAAGTATAGAAACAACACCTGCCACAAGATTGGTGAAAGGAAAGCTGCAATTGGCTCTGGTGGAAGACTTGGTGTTTCTTCAGGTAGCACATATAGTTCAGGTGGACAGTAGTCACGATCCAAAGGGGTACAATTGGGAACATAATTCTTTCCAATTCTAAGGTCTGTTGCTGCACCAAAATCAATGAGTTTAATCTGGCCCCGTTTTGTTACCACCAAGTTGGCAGGCTTAACATCCCTGTGAACTATGCCTGTGTCGTGAATTTTCTTAAGAGATGTAATGATCTGGCGCATTATTTGCTTGATGATCAATGCATTTCGTTTAGAAGAGTCTACACCTTGCAATACACGTCCAAACATGGTAGACTCTAAGTTTGAAGGGAATCTTTGATCAGCCATGTAATCAGCAAGAGATCTTCCTCCCTGTGACGTGGACAACCCTGCAATTAGTGTATGGAATAGTTGGTACATAGTAAAGTATGTTTTTCTAGCATATCTGCTTGCTTTAAGTTATGCAATCCATTCAAATAAATGAAGGGATAAACTACCAGACTACTGGAATGGTTATTTTGTTATATATTCTTGGCAACATTTGGAATGGTGCACATGCGGTTGCTACGTTCACACGTTGTGAAAACAATCTATTAGCAAAAAATTCCATGTTCAATTTTTGATGTGTGTGAAAACTCTTTGAACCAGAGATAATCACAGTACTACAAGTGAGAGATTGGTCTTTGACCTAGTGGACTGAAGGATACCCCATGATAGAATAAAAAAAAAATCAATGCCTATAGTTTATCTAATGGAAATATTTGGTAGATCACCTCAAACTTCCAAACAAGCCATTTTCCACCTTTTGTGAACTGTGAATTGGTTTTATCGGCTACAAAACTTCCCAGAAACTTAGCACATGTTTCAGGTGCTGCTCTAGAGAGTCTGTAATTGAACCACTCCTCAAAATCTCCAAATTCCTCTGCCCCTTCGATCCCAACCTTTACCTGCATGTTCCATCAGTTAGCTACTGGATACATTTAACAACAGGCTTTATAATTAAAAACAGAAGGAAGAAAAAAAGTCATCATATTTATGTTGAGAGATTATATGTCAACAAATAAGTCTGGACTCTGGAATTTACCACCAAAAAGAAAATAGATTAAATATTCGGAATTTAGATATCTATTTTCTCTTTATTAACCAAAGGATCAATAATCCTCCAAAACCAAAGAAACATTGAATAAAGAGTCCTTTTCTCAAGAGCTGTCCAATTCTTCTCCATCAATCATTCTATCCCTTGTAAGATGAAATGGCTTTAGTTAAATGCACCTCCTGCTAGCAAAAATAGCAAAATCTCCACAGAATATTTCCCACTTTCTTCTCTCAAAACCTTGAAACTTGAAGTGAAAAATGCTCTATATTTACAGAAACATAGGGGAACAACCGATCGCAGCAGATTCATAACATTAGGTAAGAAACAAGCTCAGCAAATGATATCAATTTATTTCAAATGAAGTGAAAAACATAAGACACTGCTGTTCCAACAATGACCCCATTAGGCTAAGGAAGCATTGGAAAATAAACGAAAAATCTTAAGAATACCTTCTTAAGAATGACTTTATCCTTAGATTTGGCATCCAACTTTGTGACCTTTCCTCTTCCACTTTTCTGCATCCACTCTTGTACATCTACATTCTTTGGAACCAAAACACCTGAATAAACAACACCAAATGACCCTTCTCCTAGCTTATCTCCAATAAGAAAATCAGTCCTCTTCAGATTTCTCCTTCCGGATAAACTGTCCAAAACCAATTGGATAGGAGCCAAAAGGAATGCATCAATGGCACCAACAAGAACACCGGGCCTTGCAGTTAAATAAGCCCATGTTAGCCCTGCAACTATCACAAACCCCCACCTCTGCATGTCTGATAAGTCTTCAGTTACATTCTGAAACTTCATTAACACTGATTGGAACACAGGAAACTGGTCCACGTGAAAAGTGGTCTCCAACAAGTCTTTGGGGAAGTTATCAAAAAGTGCATTGCACTTTCCAGAGCTACTCTTGAAACGGTTCGTTGAGAAGGAAACGTTAATTGGGGTGGTGGGTTTCAGAGGAGAGAAGCAGATTGTGTGATTATGTTGAAGTGTGGTTGCAGTTGAAGGGAGTAGGGAAGCCATGACCGTTATTTCCAAACAAGACAAAGCTCTCACAAAATTAGAAGCTAGGAATGAATAACGTCAGCATGCATAGCAGCTCTTGGTCCATCTGTTCCTCCATGCTTTATCCACCTTTTCTATTTATTTTCTAGGTGCAAAATCACTACAAACCTGATCCAAAATAAGTCGGAATAAACAAAATAATATTAATTAGTTGAAACGAAATGAAGTGTTTCTCATAAATTGATATTTTCATCCATTAGTTGTGGCTTTTAGATTCATAAGAATTATGATAACTGCCATATAGAAGAATTATGAACATACTATTTCAACTTCATAACTATCTAGTAATTATCTATTAGTTGTCGTTAAGATAAAGGAAGAATTTTCTCAAAAGATAAAAAAAAAATAAATAAATAAATAAAGGAAAAAGCCTCGTGAGTTAAAAAAGATTAGTTTGGCATATTGGTTTAATTTAACTTTTTTTTTTGTTACAATGTGGCTTGGATCATAATCTGTTCATTACATTTATCTAATTTCTTAATAAAATATAAATATTAAAACAACTTTGTGGCCTTTTAATATCAAATTTGTGTAATGAACAGATACAACGTAGTAAAAAGCCCAATATGACCATCACGGATTATTCTGGATAGTTAAAATATAAAACAACTAACGAGTATAATTATTTAGTTAAATAAGTCGTTTCGATATTTAATTTATACATATATGTATAACTATGTCTATTTGCTTAAACTTAAAAAGGAATATTTTTAATTTTTTTAAAAAAATCTTTAAGTAGCTAAAAATTGCATCTAAAAAAGCAGAAAATTAGTTATTTTGAAAGAAAAAAAGTTTAAAAACACATAAAAAGCTTAAAAAAAATGTTTTTATAAGGAAAAAATAAAAGTGTAAACAAACGGACACCACGTGAAGAACTATCCCAGAACTATTAAATCCTGAAACTTCTTAATGATGTTGAATAGACGAGGGTACTAACTCAACTTCTCCACTACAATTCTAATTCATACTCCGTTATTAGGAATATATGAAGCACATAAGACATAACCTTCTAGTACGTACGACAGTTTTGAGACTTCGGGTTCAAAAGCTTAAATATGGTCCCCCAGGAAGAACTATAACGTTAATCATCAAGGAAACAAAACGGGGGGCAAGAAATATAATCATTTCAATCCATGCTCAAGACAGCAGAGCTTGATAAAATAGTTGTTAAATCTTCATTTGCAAATCATAAACCTGGTTTGCTTGCAAAAATTACTTTCAGCAGACTTAATTCCTGTGGAAAATAATGCTAAGCACAGCATTTAATGTCTCAACTAGAATATAACATGTATTTTTTCATCGGTGTATAAAATAAAAAATTTACTTTCTGCACGCATAAAGGCTCAATAGTCAATACAATTGGGGAGAGCCGCAAGGCACATAAATAAGTGACTGAACTCGCAACCTGCAAAGTTCACACAAGTTCTAAGGGCACAAGAAAATGTTCATGTTGGCAATTATGACAGTTTATCACCGTTCACGCATCCAAATACAGCAACTACCAAATGAGAACAAAAACAAAAACGTAAACGTGTGCATCTTAAGCCAATGGCAGTTCAAGCTGTCAAGTCAGTAAGCAGGGCTATTCCTTTGAAGAAAAGAGGCTGCAGGCCTCACATAAGAGAAGTCCTTAAAGGGATTTCCACCATTGGGGCTGGCAGCTGGCGAGTCCACAACAGGCATATCAGTCCAGCGCTTCTCAAAGTTGGCAACACAGTGCTTACCAGCTACATCTGGCCTAAAGCTTGGTTGAATTTCTCGTGCTTCCAACTTCTTCCAATTGATTGGCTTAAACCACTTGTGGCCCTTAATTTCCTCAACCCCCCGGGTTCCACTACCTAAGCGCTTAGTTGCTTCCTTCTGTAGCAGCTGTAACAGGAACAATCATCTTTATATAACTTCTGTCAATTAGTAAATTAGCAGTAGTAGAAAAGCTCAAAATACAATGCGGATCAATGAATTGTCATCTCTTGTAAAGAAGAAAAATTATGAATTTCCTACAGCATTTTGAAAACAAATTAAATGTGTTTGTTTCGAGCAATCACAAATTCCAATGTTCTGTTCAACAGAAAAGCTATTTTATAGTTTTTCCATTTAACAGAACTGAATGACAAAATAAACATGTCCTAATTCATTTTCGGACATGATGAAAACTTGAGTCAAATATCAATTAAAAAAAATCACAACACATGCATTAGTGATTATGCCCTAAAGAAATTATAGTGAGACCCTTCAATGTAAGACAATTAAACATCTCATAGATATGCCTAAACTGACAGCAGTATTTTAAGGCACAAGTTATCCAGAGCTTATTATGTGTCAATCAATCATGAGATTTATATATGATGAACTGTTCTAGAGTAATCAAAGGAAATGACTTCTATACGACTAGTGATTACCCCTTTCAACAGGGAATGTGCTTCACTTGACAAATATGCTGGCAGCTTCATCTTGTCTTTAACTATCTTCTGCTGAATTTTGTCACGGCTCCCACCACAAAAAGGCGGCTGCAGAGGTGAAACAACATAACCAACTATTTAGTAACTCGAATAGGACCTATTACAACTAACAAACACATACATTATTACAATAACAAAATAATGAAACCAAATAATATGTCTGGTGATATTTTTATAGAAACTCCAAAAATTGACATACATTCTCCCCTTTCTTTATTTTCTCCCTTTAACTTGAGAAAGTGGTCAAATTATCTGTGAGTCAAGACAAAAATAAGCTTGACTGACTTGCATGAATGAATCAAGCTTGAGTGCACCTTTAACCTCCAAACATTTAGCTTTCAAAGAAAACACTTGATCTAGATAAACTTACTGGCACACCAAGAAGAGAAAGCATGGACAAAAAAGTAAACATTGACACAGGAAAATTAGAAGTGTAATATAGTGCCACGATTAGGTTAGAGTGTTTAGGTGAGTGTTTGACACAAGTACAACTTAGACAATAGACACAGACATCACTCTGTTTAAGTTGATATGCTTCATAGCTTGAGGCCATATAAACTTACCAAGCAGGATTTTCCTCAAGTGGTAAGTCACAGACCCTCCTACCCAAAAAAATATCATCTAACTACAAAGATCCAAAAAGAACAACCAGTCTTACAAATTAAAAAGGAACAAGATTCAAACCTTTCCAGTAAGCATCTCAAACAGTAGAACACCTACGCTCCACCAATCAGCAGCCTTATCATGGCCCTTGCCAAGAATAATTTCAGGTGCCATGTACTCTAATGTACCACACATCGAATTTGATCTTGTACTCTCTTCAAATTGTTTTGCTAAGCCAAAATCAGTCAACATAACCTAGTAGATGGACAAGTAAACCACTGTTCAGTTATTAGGTATAAAGCAGAGCCCAAAGTCACTAAGAAAAACATGAGGGAGGGACAGAGTACATGGCCATCAGCATCTAGTAGGATATTTTCAGGTTTTAGATCCCTGTGCATTATGCCATTTGAATGGAGATGGGAAACTGCAGAAACAATCTCGGCAGTGTATATGCGTGCTAGATCCTCTCTGAATATTTTTAAAAAAATAGAATTAGAAATTAATCTTGCAAATTAAAAACAAAAAACAGAAGAAACAAAAAACCTCAAAGCTAAACACACCTGAAAAGGCCTTGGTGATAAAGCTGGAAGAAGAGATGACCCCCATTTACGAAATCCAGTACAAGATACAGCCTGTATTTTGTCTGAAAGAGAATATACAGAACATGTCCTTTTTAATATTTATTAATGGAGACAATTTTGTTTTATATGGCATTTTACAAGAAAGAATTTATTGACAAAGAACGCAATTCTGGATATAAAGTAATTAAAAAAAATATCCAAAACTTAAACTAACATATTGTTCACTTAGATTTTGGGCAACATATACAATGATAGATAGATACTGAAGTGGGTAACATATAGAATGATAGATACCGAAGTGGGTGACATACACAATGATAAATGCTAAGTGGGAAAAAATCAAATGAAAGTGGCAATCCATCTGAAAGCTACATCACAATAGATAGATCATCGTAAAAAGACAAAAGCAACAGAAGAAACTTGTTACAGATTCAAATTAAGTACCTGAAAAGAGTATCTGAGTTGAACAACAAAAGGGTGTTCAATCTTCGTCCAAATATCCCTCTCAGCTTTCATGTATTCAGCATGGTTCTTCTCCATAATCTTATCCTTCCGCATAACCTTCATAGCGTATATTTCTGAAGTACCCATTTTCCTCACCTGATATACTTTTGCAAATGCACCCTGCCCCACAACCTTCAAAATCTCAAAATCATCAATGCTAACTCTCTGGATCTTCATGAGATTCCCATATTCATCTTTCACTGATTCATCGACAAAGGAAGAATCTTTGATGTCTTTAATGGTCTCTCCAGTGACATGCTCCACCAGTTCCAACGAATCCTCGGTCTCATGTATGGTGAGCTTGCCAAGCTTAAGTGATTGACTAACACAAGTCGAAGGGCCAACCAGAGAATGTGAGCGTGTGTAAATGACCGGCGGGTCATCATAAACCAGCTCGTTCACTTCCTCCACAGGCTCACCAGTAGAGGAATCAATGTTATTCAAATCCACCGTAACTGGACCAAAGACATCAGAGAAATCTAGCTCAATATGCTCCGTGTTCACAGTATCAGGAAGGTTCTTAGGAAAGAGTAACTGCGGTTTGCATCTGCCGCCGCCAGCCATAGTCAAACCAGAAAACTGAGAGGAAACCATTTCTCCCCAATCAAAAAAAAAAAAGGGATCTAGATATGCTGATGACCAAAGTAATCAAGACTACAGGTTAACCACCCCGACGCTTCCCAAAACCCCCACCGCTGATGGACTCCTGTCAATGGCCTGAATCAAGAGAAAATTGATGTAGGCAAATGGAGTTCCCAAAAACTTTGGCAGCAAGCAGAGCAAAACCCAGCAGAAAAGGTCGTCGTCGTTCTTGTTTCCCGAGACACAGGAAACGAAGTATCCTCCAGTGATTGTTGAACTCATGAAGATCCAATTGACAGTCTGCAACTCAACCAAAACAGAACAAAATGAAAAAAAGCCAAGTCACAACCACAACAACATACTTACCATAAGCTAACCTAATCACAGCATACCATAAACAGCACAAATCAGACACCGCAATTTACAACACCTAAATTATCATGCGCACAAACACCACCAACATATATTAGGACGAAATCCAATTCAATTTCCATTTTCCAATTTATAATATCATAAATGAAAAATAAATAAACAACGGCTAATTCATAACCGAAATTGATATAAACGGCAGTAGATTGCGAGATCTAACTGAAAATTTTGAAACAGAATATTTCGGAATTAGGTTAGGGTTATCATGAAACAAAAGACCAATACAATTTACCAGACAATTAACATACGGAATTGAAATTAAAGGAAACCTTAACGATGCGATGAAAATTGTAGCGGAAACGCGAGAGAGAGAGAGAGAGGGTTACCAGGGAAGGGAATTGGGAAGGGGCAATGAAAGGAAAGCGTTGTTTTGAGGAATATTTGATTCCGCGGTGATGAGGGACTCGTGTCGCCACTTATAGCATCGTGGAACGATTTACGGTTATCTTTTATTTATTCTTCGACACGTGGCGCCGTGTGAGTGGGTCGAGGCCTTGTGGGTTTTGGACGTGCTAGTTGCGTGGACTCTCCTCGCTCGTAGGGGATGCATGCCATGCGATTCGAATATGCTTTTCATCCTCCATTAAGTATTTTTGGGCTCTCAGGCCCACTTGTTTTTTTGTTTTTCTTTTTGGGAAAAATAAATGATTTGTAAATATAGTGTCAAGAAGAATGATGATGTGCAATGTTTCTGCCAAAAAAAACTTCAACAAGGAATGATAATTGATAGATTGAAAAACCAACCATGTGAGTTGAATATTGTTATTTCTGTTAAGGGGAACAAATCTACTTTATGGTGTTTTGGGAGCAGTTCTCTCAAAAAAAAAATCTTAATTTATATATATAAGGGTAAGGATAACTAAGAGATGGTTTTGGACAGATTTATCCTTGTTCTTATTCAATCCGAAAAATTCATTGAATTATATATTTAAACTCAAACCTAAATCGATCAAGACCTAAAATAAGATAATCCAATGTTTTAGTTTAATATATTAATTTGAGTATAATTAAATTATAAAATAAGGGAGATATAAAACTTAAATTAAAGTATATTTTACTATATATATTTTAAAATAAATATTGTCCTTATAAATATAATATAACTCTATATAAAGTATTATTTATTAAAAAGATGTTATTGATGTAAAATTATTTTAAGAATTTATATATTTTAAAATAACGAAGATAAGATGGGACGGCTCGAAGTATAATTCAAACACATCCTAAAATTTATATTAGTTTATTTTTAAGACTCAGTCTATTCAAATTAACAAGAGATCAAGTTAAGTCCATGTAAACAAATTAGGCTTTACTCTCTTATGTTTAAGTGTACTTTTTTTTTTTGCCAATTAAAATTTTTAGATAAATTGGAACTTAAATTAATGGTTGAGAAATTTTTTAAAAGGAAATCTTATACCCAAAATGTGATTCACATAAGCATGGGGTTGTTGTTCAATCCAAACAAAATGTTCCAGATTAAAAAAAAAATGAATAATTATAAAATTATATTCTTAAAACAAATAAAAATGTGGTTGAAGGTGAAGATCTCATTAAATGTACAAGTACTTCAAGAGAGACTAGATATTAATGAAGTTGGTAATTATTTTGAACTAATAACATGGTTATAAAAAAAAAGATATGACATTTGAGGAATTTTTTTATATAATGTAATTAGAATATAAGACCTCATACAATCATGATCAGTAGTACAAAAACTACATATTATTTTAGGTTTCTACATTAATTGTTTCACAATTGATTTATTAAAAAAACTATTTTGTAAATAAATAAATGTTAAGAACGCATTTTCTAAAACGTTTTTTTTCTCCTCATTACCTACAACACATTTAAGAGATATAAGAACACATACATTAAAAGTGTTGCACACTCCATAATTCTTAGGAAAGTTTAACCTATATGCGTTGTTGCTTAATTTTTGGAGAACTTGAAAAGAACCACCTTCTATGGTTAAGTTTAGACTTCCTCTTAGTAGAAAACCTTTATCATCTCAATCTAATTTGGCGTCAATGGAGAGAATTTAATGTCAAAGACTCAAGTCAATAATGGACTAGAGGCCAACTATAGGTGAACTAATGCTCAGTTCAGTTCATTCAAGCCACTCATGAGGTCAAGTCAGCTTGATCAAGTTAAACAATACATTAAGTAATTCATGTTATTTGATTTTTTTTCCAAATTCCACAACTGCGTCGATGATGAGGGTTATTTCCTTTGTATTACAATGTTCATGACGATGGAAGTACCTGCAAAGATACTCCAACGTTCAAGTTAGAGGAAAGTTTAGGATAAGTGTAAAAATTAGGTCAAAATGATGCATAGTATTACATATATAGGTGATTAATCTTATCTCTAGGTCTAGAGATAATGTTAAATGATATCTTGAGGGATATATTTCAATAACCGAGTTAAACGATATATTAAGTTAAATAATTCGCAAATTATTTCATTATATCCTAATTCTTTTTCTTTCAACTTTTGTGAATAAGATCTAAAGTTAGAGTTGACAATTTAATGATTGACTTTATAAAATTTTAGATCTTAATAACAAATTTTTATAATTTAAGAGTCCATTTTAAAAATATTTAAGATCAACATATATATTAAACCTAAATTATATTAATATGTTTTATACATCAAAACTTTAGTAATGAAATAAAAATAGGAAGGGTGTAAACTAATTAAGTAATAGTTTTTTATTAATAAAAATAAGTAATTTAAAAGAAGTAGAAAGAACACACTAAATACAGTAACAATAACATCAAATTCAAATCGTGCATTTCTTTATTGATTTATTTAAGTTCTTTTGCTTTGCCATTCGAAACAAATTATCCAAGAAGAAAAAGAAACGTTCCTTCATGATGCAATCATCTATAACATATGTCCACAACAACAACATGAAGGTCCACTCGATGGTTACCAACGGAAAGCTTATCGTGACGATGGTGAAGGAGCATGAGGAAGAGCATGAGGATGATGATTGAGGTGTTGTAGTAGACTCGTGCTTGTACAGTACAATGATAAATACATGAACGAGTGAGGAAATAATTGATTCTTTTGTTAATTTCTTGTAGCCTTCAAAACTTAGTATGTAGATTAAATTTCAGATCTTTTGATGCCAGATCCTCTAAATATTATTGTTACTATTGCTGAATAATAAAATAATATATTTTATTTGGAGAAAGCTTTATCCTTTACAGTCACAATTTTCATCTTTTCTTTTTCAATTTTTACTCTATTATGAGATTGATTTTCTTGTTTATGTTTATAAAACTCATTTTATATCAAACCTTATATTACTCTAACTTAGTCTTTCTCCTATATTGTACAATAACTATTCTTTATATAGAGATAAAATAAGATATAATATCATTAATTATCCTTTCATACCAATTATTTAAATATTTTAATACAAAGTAATATAGTAAATTATTTAACATTAATATTTCAATTATTTGAATAAGTAAATTAAAGAAAAATATTAAACCAACCTAATTAGGTAGCATTCAACTTATGATTGATCTAAGATAATATTTTCTAATTCAAATTATACTTAATTTAATAGAATCCAATATATTTGTATATAGGTAAATTAGCTACAATGTAACCTATCCTTCTTAATTGGAGTTATTAATTTGAGTGCACTGATGAGTTATTAAGTTTTTAGGGTAGGCATCTTAAAAAGAAAATATGTTACAAAAACTTGATTTATTTTACACATTTATAAAAATTGTCATTGATAAGAATAAAGTTTTTTCCATATAGAACATTTTTTTTATGATTCAACAACAACAAAAGTAATATTCAGATAATCTAGTTCCAAAAGAATCTGAAATCTAATCGACATACCAAGATTAAATTTTGAAGGCAACAAGACATTAACAAAAAAAAATCAATCATTCACATACAAATTCATTTATTCATCATTGTACTGGCACGAATCTCCTACTTATACCTTTATCATCATCTTCATCATCTTCCTCATGTCCCTTTGGTATCGTGGCAATGAACTGGCTTTCGATAAACATCGTGCTCACAAGTTTTAACCGCATAAATTCTAGCAATTAAAACTCTCACATATTGGAGTTCAAGATGGTAGAGCAAGAGCTCCATTGAACCATTGGCCATCACATATTGGTCATGTCAACCGGGGTGAATTTCCATCGCATTCAAACCATTGATTCCGTCTCCACTATAAAGCAAGAGAAGTTCATGAATGAGGAACAAATTTAAAAATTAAAATTAATAAATAAATATTAAATTTTATATAAATATTTTTTAAAAAAAATATTTCAAGACACATATAATTGAAATTATATTTACGCATAATTAAGCAAAACATATTTTTCAAAGAATACCAATTATTAATTCTACATGTTCCTAAAAATCTTTTTAAATTTATAATAAAAATTCCTATCTTTGTTAACAGTATTTTTTTATTAAAAAGTAAAAAAAATTAATTCCTGAAAATATACTGGATATTAATTTATCTTTTATGCCTAAAAAATTAAAGATAGATCAAAAGGGAAAATAAAGGGAATATATTGGTAAAACAACAACAAACTTATTTTAATTATCTTGAAGCTTAACAAACGTTAATCAAGTTCTTATATTTATTACCAAATTAATGTAAAGAAAAAATATTAGCACGTCTGTAATATAACCGAAAATAAATAAAATTTAAACATAATTTTTTAATAAAATATCAAATATAAAATTATGTAATATATGGATTTTATAATTAGGAAAAATCTAGGGTAAAAGTATTATTAACCACCAGGTAGATTCGTTCGTGATAGGATGAATCTTCATGTTATTGTTGTAGACACTACAAAGAAATGCACTACCAAGATTAACACCGTAAAAATGATATAAAAAAAATGTTTCAATTTCCCCTTTCTTTTTTGGGTGAAGATAATATAAAACCATAATTTTCTTTCAATTTGCACCCATAATGTGTTTTGAATGTAAAAAGATACAATTTATTTTGTTTATTTTCCTGTTACCAAAAAAATTTGAGCGAAATTGGGATGGGAGTTCTGACAAGGAGAATAACGATCTTCCAGGTTTCAACACTAATGAGAATAGGAGACATCTGCAAAAATATTTTGAACAAGTTAGAGGAGAGTTTAAATTTAAAATATGATTAGATCATTAGACTTTAGAGTCTTTAAATAGGTATTTAATTCTCATCATTTAGCAAAAAATCCTATCTATTAGATAAGGATAATATATTTGATTATTATAATAAGATATCTTTAGGAGATAATTACGTAAAAATATATTTTTAGTTGTTAGGATTTAACCATTTAGGAGATGATTGTTAATTTGTTACAATAATTTAAATTATGTTGTTTAAATT